CCAAGCAATTCGGACCAGAACACAGTGGCGACGGTTGACAATGAGATCCTCGAGATGCTTGGAGAAAATCCGCAAAAATCAAAAGCGCTAGATATCGTTTTACATGATTCTTTGAAACTGCGTTGGAATTACTGGGTTACACACGGAATAGAACAGAAGTCCAAGGAAGAGCTGACGTCAAATACGCTCGTTCGTCGGAATTCGACGCACCTAAACTAAACCCAGAAAGAGTGACCCCAAAAAGAGGTGAAATTTCGCCCGATTTGCGGCCCTCGAATTTGGAACCAAATAGTACGCTAAATGATAGTTTATGATGAGACATTGATCACAGAAAATTTTTACATTGAGCCTACTTTTCGTTTTGAAGATAGGCGATGTCAAAGTTGCTAGGTCAGGTGCGGTATCATGACATATCTCACAAGTAAACTTACGGAACTGTCTGTCGGAACTCTCTGATTTTGATGGGATTTTGCACACTTGTAGAACTATGACAAATAATCGATATATATTTTTTTATATCGGTAAAGGTGCACTCTAAAGGGTGAAAACTACCCCTTAGATGTGAGTTTTAGCTAGAATTCATATAGAATCTGCGTTTGAAAAGATGGTAAAATGGATTTAAGGGGTTTCTGAGGACACTAATTACGAATCCGGGGCTAGAATTTCACAATTCAAAATGGCGGACATCGACTAATTAACAATTATAATTTGATATGCACAAAAATGATCATTTACACGTTTCTGGGATCGCTGATTACGACTCTGAACATAGAATTTCAAAATCGAAAATCGTAGATCTAATATGTTAGTAAACTGACAAACTCCTCTCCGATTCTAAGTTTGTCAGTTAATTACTGTATTGAACTCTCCCCTGCCCTGCTTGAGTTAGGTTAGGTTAGGCAAACGTGTAAATGATCATTTTTGTGCATATCGATTAATAATTGTTAATTAGTCGATGTCCGCCATTTTAAATTGTGAAATTCTAGCCTCGGATTCGTAATTAGTGACCTCAGAAACCCCTTAAATCCATTTTACCATCTTTTCAAACGCAGATTCTATACGAATTCTAGCTAAAACTCACATCTAAGGGGTAGTTTTCACCCTTTAGAGTGCACCTTTACCGATATAAAAAAAATATATGTCGATTATTTGTCATAGTTCTACAAGTGTGCAAAGTCCCATCAAAATCAGTGAGTTCCGACAGACAGTTCCGTAAGTTTACTTGTGAGATATGTCATGATACCGCACCTGACCTAGCAACTTTGACATCGCCTATCTTCGAAACGAAAAGTAGGCTCAATGTAAAAGTTTTCTGTGATCAATGTCTCATCATAAACTATCATTTAGCGTACTATTTGGTTCCAAATTCGAGAGCCGCAAATCGGGCGATTATTGGAGTCACTCTTTCCGCCATACTCTCTGAGTCAGCAGTTAAAAGGGACAATTTTATGGTCGAAAATCAAAAGCTAGCAGGATCAGCTCTCACAGCAATCGGCTCGGCGTTGACATTGATTATGATTGAGGAAGAAGATATAGATAAGCTATTATTCGTACAGAGACTTAACGAAGCGGCTAAATTAATAATGGCAATCCATTTTAACGAAACCGAGTCGCGTAAAGCTTTCATTTACCCCGGAATTAATAAACAATTTAAGACGACCCTTAAAGAACGAAAATCGGATACTTTTCTGTTTGGAGAAAACTTAGCAGATAAGATTAAAGAATCTAAAAGTATTGCAAGTCTAACACAGAACGTCAAAAATCAACAGTTTTCAAGAAGTCTGTCACAATATTCTAAGAAAAATTTAAACGCAAAGAGCCTGCAGGTGAAGAGGCCGTTCACCAATCGTGCAGGCTATCCCAACACTCAAGGCCACAACCGCTCTCGTCTGACCTTCAGGACGAAAGAACCATACAACTCGAGAGCACGAACACACCGGAGTTCCAGCAGGTCAACGAGGAAAACCAGATAAATGTATGTATCGCGGGTCGATTAAAAGTTCTCTTATCCGAATGGCAGAAAATTACGAATGATAGATTCGTATTAAACTGTGTGCAAGGTTACAAAATCAAATTCTCTTCCAAGATTTACC